ATAATTGTTTCTTCTAAAAATACATTTTTCACGGTCGTTTTGAATTCATGTATGTAACGCGTGCCATTATACCGACACGGCCAAGTGTCGAAACAGAGGAATCATTATTAATCGCTGTTTGCATAATTAATTTGAACAACGTACCACAAAAGTAATTGCGATAACGTTCTTAGATTAAATTTTCTAAATACATTTAAGTGGAAGGTAAAACTTATTCCACGAATACCCATGTTTTATTTTCTTCGACTACGTATTCTATTTAATTACAAGCCTGTTGTAGTAGTATTTTTGAAATGCTATAAATATCGCTTTGGCATGGTATGAATAATAAATCATAATAAAAATGATGGAATATTAAGTAGGATTAAAAACTTTCCATTATGAACAATGAAAGACTGAATTTATTTTTATTTTCTTCAAGGTACAAAAGAAATATAATCATGATGTATATGTGTGTGGAATTGGAACGAAATGATTAGTTATTTCGTTCTAATTTTTAACCCAGATTTTTTTTTTCTTTTTCTTACGAGTAAAAAAGAAGTCGAGATTTTACTATGCTTAAAAAGTTCAAACGCTCGGTGACCTCCCCAACGATGGTCAACTTTATCGTACAAATTATCTGTGATATCACGGTAAGCACAAATGAAAGCGGGGAACTTGCTGATTTATTTGTGATTTTTTAAGGGTCTATCACGATAACTTTTTATCACGAATTCATCAGTATTTTCTTTTACGTCTGGCACGAAAGCAAAGTAGAGTTTAAAATGTAAATCGAGAATATATGGCCTTTATTGTTTTCACTCAGGAATCTCACTACGATGAATTTACATTGGTGTTATTAATAATTATCAATTTTCTTCTTATAATTTTCTTCTTATATCCGTAAGAATTGCATTAACATTCGTGTAGGCTTGTTAAATCGTACGCTCATTAAGTTCCAGTTATTTATTGCATGATTCTAATGAAATGTAAGTTTCAAATGAGGTAGATTATGCCAATTGTTTCAAATTACTCAACGACAACCTCTTGTTTCTAACAAGTATTAGAATAAAGCAGAATTTTCGAACAAATACGATTCTTCTCGACAATCGAGTTTTAACACGAAGGGAACGAGAAATCAAGATTGAATTTGCGACCAGACTATTAGAAGTTTGGTCTGAGTTTATGCAAGGTATTCAAGACACGTAGAAGCTTATAGATTTTTCGTACTGTATCTACGTACACGTGGAACCACTTGTGGCAGTTGTTCATCAACAAGACGATAGGAGGTATACTTTTGAAATACTTTCGAAATCAAAATTTGTGATCGTCGGTAGGACAATTTCGAGCCTTCTATATTTGGAGAATATAAATTAAAGTGAATGTTATAGAATCAATTTTGAAATAGTAGTAGGGTAAGAGGCTAGTATGAAAACCAGTTGTTAGCTATGCATCAAGATGCAAGGTGTATTCCAGTTTCTTGGTTTATAAAGGTCAGTGATGCGGTACCCGACGTAAATCCTCCTCCGTACGATTTACGATTACGTTTTGCTTATCAAAAGTTCAAACGGCAGCCCTTTGCATTATTCATCCTGTACTTATCTTATGGATTGAAAATTTGCGAGATAAACATGAAAGAGTTATAGCCTAACAGGATGCTGTACTATTTCGTACCGCATAAATAGTTTTATCCTTTTTTCTTTACGCAACATCAAGTTTCTCAATTTCGTGAGCTTCTTTAGCAATGTATCGAATATTTAAAAGACTTTTTAAGTACGAACTTAAAAAAGTACCGTGAATTTGGATGTTATAATGACGGAAAAGTATTAAAACGTGAATGTTTCAAAAGTTGAGAGTAAAATCTACCATTTTTCTAGTTCCGGTTAACCGTCTTTATGGAAATGTGCTTCTTTTTTTGGTTCACCTCGAAAGTATGTTAATGCTAGCTTTCTTTTAATGGCACCCTTAGGTGAGCAATGTTTTATACACCTTTGTAAAGAAGTTTTCAACGGTTAGACTGAGGTCACGTCATCTTAGGTCGAATTTAAATAGGTGTAAATCTTTTTTTCTTTCCTAACTAAGAAAAATTTATGAAACCGCAGATTACCACCGGTACGCGAAGCATCGCATTTATTGTGCGAATTGTTCTTAGTGAAATTTAAAGAACGAGTTAAACGGAATATGTAGGAAAGTGGGACGTTGCTCCTAATGCGAAATACATTAAAGGGTAGTTTTGTTATGCGAATTTCCAGATACACGATGGCCAATTTATTACTTCGATATCATCGTGAATATAATTTGTGTTACGGATTTTTATTCATGGGACTGAACTAACATTCGAGGTTAATGACTTGTTTTATTTTATGATTATTTGATATAATCTAATTTGAAGTCATTTATTTCAAAGAAAATGCGAACCATAAGACCAGCTGGTGTTGATTTATTGTTAAACTGATTTTGTTGTTGTATTTAAAACATTTTAAAAATAATTTTGAATAATATTCTGCCGTAAAGTAATATCATTATTATAAAATAAATAAACGTGAAACAATGTGTCATTTATTTTCAATCTATGAATACATTACTGTTGTAGACCATTGACCCTTTACTGGTTCTTGACACGTTCTGCCTAATGTAATGCATTGAAAAATATGTACATCGTAGAAAAGGATCGAACCTTGAATAAGCGAGCTAAACATTCGCACTTTGCTGCTACATTCGATCGATTAACTTGACAATTTAGTTTCACGCGTTTGTTATACACTAGAATACGTGTGCACGAAACACACACAACTTCCTTAAGTTAATATAATATAACGAGTTTATTAATTATTATGTTCTTCGAAACAAGAAATAATAAACAACGATGTAACTTTACGTTCAATTATTTGAAATAAAGTACTTTGGTAAAATAGAATAGCAATAGAAAGAATATAGAAATCTAAAAACCAAAGCATATTCCAATATCCGACATCGTAACTTCGCATAACTGAAAAACATGAAGCGTTAACTTTCTTTATAAATCTTGCACGCGTTGTAGCTGCAGCTCGGATCGCGCGCGTAAAAATGAACGATTAGTATTATTTTCAATCGACTTTGGATAATAACATTTGCCGAACGAGAAAAGACGATCGGGTTTGAATACTTTTTCTTTTGCGAAAGCTTTTTCCGATATCCTTCGCAACCATGAAATCTTTTCGCGCCTGATTGTTCGTTCTCTTTTTGCCATCTCTTAAAATTAACTTAACTATTCGTGCGTTTGCATGTGCCAAGGAATATTTTGGATTATTTGAAACATCGTTCTTTAGTGCAATTTACGTGGAAATAAATAATGTTCTATTACCAGGTATATTTTCAATGTCTGGCAGACCCATGGTTTACTTGCACCTTGGTGGCGCGCAACCTGCACCTGACTAAACCACCGGTCAGGCATGGCTAAGCATAGTAGGCGACTTTAAGTGAACGTTGCTTGGCAACCGGAAATCAATTTCCAATGGCAACCGGGCCCACGTAGCGTTCCTTTACGATAAGAATAATGGGAACGATCGTTGTTCGATCGTCTGCTGGTTGTGCGCTTTAAAATGATCTTTCTAACAATGTGGCGGGAAAGCTCGAACTTTTTCAAATCCTCGCGGAAAATGATGTCAATACTAAAATTGAACTATTGTTAGGCGTTTTATAAGATAAACATAATTTGAGTTAGGTATTACATGATCTCAAAACTAATATTACTTCTTATCGTTATAAAGCTATCTATTATTTCAAGTATTCTCGATTGATATAATGACAAATTAATGATAAATTTATCTTTATATGTATATCATTGTCTCAAGTAAAGCTTACGATATATTCTGATCAAGATAATTGTGCTCATTTTGATAAGTTTATCAATTATATTATCTCTTGGTAAATTATCGAAATTTCATCGATATATTTTATATCAATGAAACATCAATGTATTTTTCGTTTTTGTTTAATTATAAAATCTTGTATGAAAATAAAAATGTACCAGTTGGTTTATTTGCTATCATGACTGGTTGGGATTTTGCGACAACTGGCACAGATTTTTTCTTTAATCTTCGAAAGCTGATTCTCTCGATTATCGATCCAATCACTTGTCGGAATGAGCACGGAAGCAAATATAACAAGAGCATAATGTTTTACACAGGAAATGATCTATAATAAGAAAGGTTTATGCGCGGATTATGGTTTTCCAATGATTGTGAATCGTGTATCTTGGTTAGCGTCTACTTTATTGAAGTTGAATGTACAGTTATACCAACGGTTTACACGAAATTGTCAGTATCATCTATTCGATCTTGCATCATATCTGTTGTATGCATTTAGTATTGCAAAATTGAACATTTTTAATTAATATCGTCAATTAATATCTTCTATTATCGAAGTATCATTAATTCATCGATAGATGTAAATGAAATAAAATCTTTGCAGTATAAACTTTATAAAAAATGTCTTGTGTTACATCCGTAACATATATTTTCTTTCAGGCACAAGTTATTAGAATACTTGCATGTAGCTTTCATTTAAAAATATGTTAATTCCCATGTTTATCGTGGTTATTAATTTTTTCTTAATTTCTTTCTTCTTTTTAAATAATTTTAAATAAATAGCTTACATTTTGTATAATTATATACGTTAGAGATAAGTTTTTATATATATTTGTTTTTTGGAAGTATAAATATAAGACACGAAGTACAAAACATAAACGCTGAGTCAAATATTTACATACGCAGATTATTTTTATGACTTGTGGATTGTACTTTTAAAGATTATTAAGTCAGTTTCTCATTTAACGTTGAGCAGGAAATATATTCCAGCGTTCGTGAACGATAAACACGTCATCTTTCAAAGTGTATTCAGGTATTTACCTAATCAATTTATTTGTTCTCATTTTAATAAGAATACATGCCATATGTTAGATTCGCGAGAACTGATATAGTGATTATTGAGAATCTACATTACCGACATGGTACTATGTAAAGACTGTTTAGATAATCTATAGAGTGCGTTAGTTTGAACTTTAAGAAGCTTGTAAAAATCATACTGTCAAGTTCGTGTATACATTTAATTGTCATTTGAACAAAGTTTTATCGTCGAAGAATAATCATTTTTGGTGAAATATACGACATTTGTTATTAAAGAATAATAAAAGTATTACATTCGGTAAGTTAACTTTCGTTATAATTTAGTATTCTTCGTTCTAACCTCAATATTAATTTTTAACCTCAATTTATAACACAGTGTTTGTATCATTATCATAGAATGCTATACAATTTTTAATAATTGTCATTTTTTTAATCGTAATCGAGATAAGTGACGCTGTTTTATATTAATTCAAATTTTTGTTCGATAGAAAATAATTTGTCAATATGAGTGGTTCTCCGGAGTCGAAGAAAACAGGAGAATTGACTTCAAATAATCCTGATCAATACGAATTCGATGGAGAACACTATGTATACGTGGATAAAACAACTAATGTGAAATACAAGTTTGATCAAGTGAAAAATCAGTGGGTCCCTGAAGATAAAGGCCAAACCGAAGCTGTTAAAGATGATGAAAAGAAAGAGGAAGCCAGTGGACCTGCAGTAGCTGCACCAGGTGGAGTTTATGGTTTTGAAAATGATACTCACACATATACAGACCCTAATGATGGTAGTGTTTATATTTGGGATCGAGAGAAGAACGCATGGTTCCCCAAAGTAATATTCTTTTCTTAAGTTTTATTAATACAAAGTAAATTTCAAATCTAATTTCTAATCTTCAAATTTGTGATCTTAGGTGGATGAAGATTTTATGGCTAGATATCAAATGAGCTACGGATTTGTAGATCCAAATGCAACAGAATCATCGAAAAAGTTACCAGAAAAGTCTGTACAACTGCCTCCTCCTCAACCAAAGCTGACAAAAGAACAGAAAAAAGCAGAAGCTAAAAGAAAATCTCAGGAGCCACCGACTTGGTTCGAGATAGATGAGGCCCACAATACTGCTATCTACGTTTCTGGATTACCTTTGGACATCACTATGGAGGAACTTACAGAACTCTTCAACAAATGTGGTCTTATTGCAAGGGATGAGAAAAACAAAGACAAGATCAAGTTGTATAGGGATCATGTGGGAGAATTGAAGGGTGACGCTCTTTGCACGTATATCAAGGTAAGTGGTTAAAGTTGTTTTAATATTCGATTAAATGTTTTTTATTTTCGTTATTATTCTAATTATAACATGAGACGTTAAACGTAAAATGTTTGAGGCAGACGATTGCGGTTCTACATATTTACAGATAAAGCAGTGTAAAAGTAACATTATTTCGATAGAATTATATATAATATATGTGTATACGTATGTATAACGAGTTAAAACTAAGAATTTCAACTAGCAGTAATATTTAATTACTAAAGAAAATCAAAGTATTCGTTTCAATAACATGGACATCTATATAACATCGATACATTACAAATTTTCATGTTTTTTTTGTTTTTCAAAGCTTTCATTAATAGCGAAGAAATACTAATTTTGATATGTGTAGTACAAGGGTTTAATACTCGTAATCTCGAACTTGAGTTCATTATTAATTTTTTTTCCTTTTCTTTTTTTTTTTAAATTTGGGAAGATTTTAAATAGACGATTATTTTATCTTCGAATACATAGGTTGAAAAACATACATAACGTTGTTAAAGAGAACGAATTACAATTAGATTCTAACAGATATTATATGTAATTGTATATATGTATATTTATATGTAATTTTTCTTTTTCTTATATCGTTGTCTACAATTAAATCGTTTATCGCAACGTTCGATTTAACTATTAATAAAATTCAGAAAGATAGAGAAAGAGAAGGAGAGAAAAGGAACTATGAAGGAATCGGCTTTTCATTTTCAATTAAATAAATTATCTCAGTCTGTAGCCTCGAGAGATTTCTCAAATTTCTTTTTCCTAATCTAAAAAAAAGAAAAAAGGGGGCAAAATTTGTTACTAAAAAGATAGAAGAGAAACAGAGAAAGAGAGGGAGAGAAAGAGAGAGAGGAAGAGAGAAAAGAAGAAAAAAATGGCATTAGGAGAAGCTGATGACTCGGTGGTGTAAATAGGATTACATTTTTCAAAGTTTAAGCAAAACCTCCTCTCGTGCGAAATCATTGATTTTCGCTTGGAATTGAGATAATACGTCGTTTACATTCGATAATGTTTGGGGCTGATTATGCCCAGCGTTGCTCGGTCCATCTCCCAAAAAAGCACCGTATTCTTGCTTTTGAGATAAAATTTGTGCGACATTCGGTGCCGTCGCACTCGAAATCGTCCTGTTAGAATGATGTCGCATTTTTTCTTTCATACTTCTCTGCCTGAAATATGAATTACCAAGAAAATGAGCCTATTTTTATATTGTTCTTTTCTTTTTTTCTTTTTTTATTAGAGAGAAAGATAAATTAGAAGAAAAAGAAATGATTTATTTTCTTTTTTAAATGAGATTATTTAAGATGATTTACTTGATAGGTGGCCTCGAGCCAGGATTCACACCATGCGCCCATTGTTGATTCACGTTTTGTTCGGTCCAATCTCTGTTCCAATCAGCCCGTCCTTTTTTTCGTTTATTATTTTGCCTCTGAAACTCGCCGGGATATTTTTTTCCTTGTTTACGAGGCTTTACTCTTTGGTTTTGCGGTGCGAAAGGATCGGCCGTCTTTTTACGTCTTCTGGCTATAATTTTGTTACGGTATAATTAAATTTAAAAAAGTATTTTTTCCAAATTCATCCGTGAAAAAATGTTAATTAACAAGACACGTTAATTTGATGTTATATTAAGAAATATTAATATATTTTCACCTATTCTCCCGGCTGGTACTTCACAAATATAATGCTTCCGTTGCACACAACTTTTGGCGTTCCATTTATATTTCAAAGAGGGATCCAATACAATGCAATGCCAGGCGTATTGTTCAGACTTGCCGGGATTTATTTTACCAAAGCTCTGAAAAACCATTTTCTCGCCGGTAACACCCCACTCCCAAGCCATCTGTTGCCAGTTATAAATTCCACCTATCCATCGTTCCAATTTTGCTAAATAAAAGTTTCGTCTTCGTTAGGAAGGGTTAACGAGCAATTACGATTTTGCTAATTAAGAAATTGTATTTTAACGGTTTTAATGATTGTAGTCACGTACGTGTACGTATATAAATATATCTGTTATACTTACTAAATTGATCACCCATCAGGTATTTCCTTAACATTCTATCCTTTCCATTTCTGTCTAGTACCGCTAAAGTTGCATTTCTGTCCTTGCAATGAAAGTACGCTTCTCTCCAGGGTGCTGTACCCGCGCTCAAGTAATAGCAAAATCTTTTCAATCGAAAAAATCCTATTGGGCAGGCGAATCGTTTGATCCGTTCATGTTGTCGATTTGGTTTATCTTGACTTTTTGGTGGAATGGTTATACCGAAACTGTGAGGATCTACCAAGGTCGAGGATATCCCTGTAAAAAATAAACAATTCTTTTTTCATTACTTTGAAATATTTCGTCCGTAACGTATTCAGAAAATATTATACGATGTATTAATTATTAACATCTAACGCGCGTACGAATATACGCTACTTGTATTTTATTTCTAATCTTTTGTTAATACGTAGAATTCATCTTTGAAGTTTATTTAATGAATTTCTAGTTGCACAGTTTGAAAGCATTTCGCGCAGTTATTTGCGCGTTCGGTTCTCTGCTTTTCAATTAATGCTCGGTTTAATTAATTTCAAACTTTAGCGAAATCCGACATATGGAATCGAATCAGAAGCAGTACATCGTTTGATTTGAATTTCATTCGAACCGTATATATATATATATATATATATATATATATATATATGTATGTGTATTTGGATAGAAGGTTAGAGCACGGCCGTTCTAATAAATTACATTTTTTAAACGTATCCTTGAATGGAATTTTCAAAGATTACGTAAGTACTTATATCTATACATATGTACATGTGTCTGTTTCATGGTTGAATAGTCGTAAACGCCTATGTTATTACGAAAGGATATATTTGTCGATCGTTCTGACAAATGCGGGCTATTGTTTGAGAATCAATTTTCTCTCATACGATGTAGGAATACAATGGGAGATTATATGGGGATCAATTTTAACAGAACTGCCAACTCGTTATTTTTGTATTAATCCTGCCTGGAAAATCACTCTCGTGTTCGTTAGATTTATTTATTTATTTTTTTTTATTTGCGACGTATTTTCTTTTTCGCGCGTATCTCGATTATTTTGCTTTTTATTTTATTTTTTTTTTTCTCATTTTTTCTATTATTTTTTAACCCATTTTGTTTATCTCTATAATAAATCCGTAACGTAGGTGTTGCATCGTTATAAACGACTATATCGACGTAATTGCACGAAAATTTATGATATACTCGTTATTAATTATATTCTTTGAATTATTCTGTTTAATAGTCTCTGGTATTTGTGAATAGTTACATGGCTTCTTTCTAATACGAATTTATGGCGGTTACATGGTTCGTGTCATTCCCGTTCATCTAATTGACCGACAATGGGGGTTCTCTCAGAGAACAACCGACTATTTATTACATTCACACGTTTACCAAGATCTTTTATTACTTTGCGACGATTACTTCTATTTCATACAATTCTTTTGATATATTTGTAACAACTATTATTCCTATTTACGAATGCATTAACTTTTCCTCTCTCTCTCTCTCTCTCTCTCTTCCTCGTTCTCCGTTTGATTTATCTGTAATTTTCTTGACCTGATTACGAAATTTCGATTAGTTATCAATGATACTTTTCTTTCAAATTCCCCTGCCGCCACTCTTATGTCAGTTACGCGAAACATCCTGTAGAGATATGAAGATCGATGAAGAAGTATCGTATCGGAAAGTTCAGAAACAAATTGAACAGTCCATCGACAGAGAAGAGCCAAGCTGAAAATAAACTTCCGCGTAGGGTGGAATGTGCTTAACCCGGTTCAATGCATTTAATGATGCCTATTCCGAGAAACAATATTGTTCTAGAAAATTGTCTTGGTTTTATTAACTAGACGGAGACACCGAAAATTATATTCGCGTGTGAACGAACACGACTACAATATAATCTTATTGTAAGATACAATATTTTTAATAGTTAACTAAATTCATTTGTATATTTTAGTCTTTTAACTTTAATGAGATACTTTATGAAAACAATTGAAAGTATTTTTGTTAATCGTATCGTCACACGTTTATGTGCAATTTATTTTATATTTTAGCAAAACCACGACGGTTGTATTACATAATTTATATTATTGCACGAATTTAAATTTAATCGACAATAAATCGGCGAGTTGTTTCAAATGTAGAACATCTGCGAGGAATTTCTTTAAAACTTGCCAAAAAGTATTCGTTGATTGATGTTTAGTCTCTTGGTTGGAATTATTCTTTTTCTTTTTTTCTTTTTTTCATAAACATGTAACACAAAACGATATTGCTTCAAAAATCGTTAACTTTTATCGTGTTCGTGTATATGGTATATTCGTGATCGTGTACCGTAAACTGTTGGTAGTTTGCCGACATAAACGGATGCGTATGCATTCGATGCAAATTTGTATGGGAATTTTTATTTTTTTTTTTTTTTTTTATTATTATTATTTATACATACACCGCGAACGTGTGTCTGCGGCGATGAATTTATTCAAAATTTTTCTATGTAGGATAGGTCGAGTCGCGCTGCTCGTTAAAACACAAAATTTACGTAACTTTTTCACATGTATGCATACGCTTATTATATTACACGCTATTATTTAATACTTAGTATATGGGTATGCGTATGCGTATGCGTATGCGTGCGTGCGTGCGTGTGTGTGTGTGTGTGTGTGTGTGTGTGTGTGTGTGTGTGTGTGTAACCAACTTCGACTTGTTAATCATTCGTTCCGATAAAAAGCTCTCTTTAAACATTGAAAATAAATTTATTTTTATCGAAGATATCTCTCGATAGAGTTTTAATATCATTCGTTCTTCGTATTACTAATTATATTTATTTCATTTTATTTTTCAAAGAAAAATATCAAATGAATTTTTTCACGCGTATAGTATATAGAATAGTAAATTTATTTATAATTGTTTTTATTTTATTTTTCGGTATATAGGAGTCAATGTCGAAACGTTCGAGTTCGAGTTCTCGTAGCAGAATAATTTACGTCGACACAGGTAGAACGTGAATTATTGGACATACGCGGTCACGTGTTATCGTAAATTAAATTTCACTGTAGTAGAAATGGTCCAGTTTCATGGTTTGGAACATCGCAAGTGCTAGGGAGTTCTATTCCGTTTTAGTATTTGGTCAAGGATCGTTTGTTTGGGAAAACGATATCATCCATACATCAAGAAGATAGGATATCATCTGTACGCTTTAAATCGTAGCACCGATGCTACCTTTCGAAAGATCCATTTTCTATAAACAAGTTCGAATTCGAGAGAGAAAGAAAGAGAAAACGAAAGGTTGCAGTTATTCTATACCATATTCGATATATGCATCAAATGATCACTATCCTTTTATAACGACACCGTGTTCCATTTATTATTTCAAAGTTCGAAGAAAGAGAGTGTTTTAAAATGAGTATTCGTGTTTATCCAATCTAATATATCGATCATAATTTTATTTCCTATCATTCGTTTCTCTAAGATAAGGAAAGAACAAAAAATAGAAGAAAGTTTATTACCAACGTTCGAAAGACTTTATCATTTGCCTTATTAATATTCGATTTTATTTATTTTTTATTTCACAGTATTATTAGTAAAATTATACGTCGAATAGTAGGAATACAGGTCGAGTCAAACGTTATTTTACTAACATTATTTTCTTTTTATCGATTTTTATATAAGAATTATTTTTATTTTTTTCGTAGAGAATAACTGATTCCGAGTAATCTTAAGTATTAACGATATTATATAAATTATATTTTATCTTAATTCGGTAAATAGATGATTACGATGAATGATAGGAATCCTTGATTCACTCTGTAAATAAGCATTCACGTTCGAATAATATCGAATAGATATGCAAAAGAACATGCTGCGTAAATGGTTTTCCAGAACGTAATTCGTGAGTAATAGAGCAAGTCAAGTTACGTAGAAATTTGCGAGTTCGTAGTAATAAAACAACGGTAAACTTTCGATAATCCTGGTGCTAACTATGACGTTAATCGACCTAATTTTTCTCCAAAACTTCGAATATTTTCCAAATTTTCTCACCAAGTTGAAAAATAAATCGTTACCTACGTTTTCTTAGTTGACGTTTATTTAATAAGTAAAAGAGATTGTTAGATCCACCCACCAAATGTTCTTACTTTCATAGAGTAAATAATATATGGTATGTGTTACAAGGCAAACTCGAGCTTTGTATTGTAACAGGTTCAATTTCGCGCATGACTCATTCACGAACTTTTGGTTGGTTTAATAATATCCACTTGATTATTTCACCAAGGTACATTTCTTTCTTAATTAAATAAAAATTAATACATTTGTATACGTAAATTAAATATTCCTTTCCATTTGTATCGAAATGTCTATTTTGAATATAAACGAAAAAGATATTCGGATAAATCCTGAATTCGTAATGTCATTTAAATTTAACTATAAACTTAATCTTATTCACTTAATACATTATATCCCAATTTTTATTTTTAAAAATAGAAATAAAAAATTCTCGCGTTTGTCTCCTCCGTGAGATATTCCAAGTTCAACGATAAGGTTTATCCTTGAGTGTATCGTCGTTCCAGAGAAAGAAAGATATAAAAAAAAGAAAAAGGAAAGAGAAATAAAAGGACCGGATTCTCGCTAGTCATCATTTCTTCTCGACTCATAAAAATTCTCAAAGCATATATTAGAGATTCAACGATAAGCTAATTCGGTGTCTTTTCGTAGTTGACTGAAACGTTTATGCGATAAGAGTATAAAAAGGTAGTATTACATAAGTTGTGCAAGTGGGACAGAAAATAACCACGGTTTGTTCTTGTCTTTGAAAATTTATCGTTCCTTTTCTCGCGGACATGCAAGTGAGAGAAAAGAGAGAGAGTGAAATAAATTTGAATCTGGTTTGATAATATGTGCTCGCACTATTTGCTATCTTCTATCTCTATCTCTCTCTCTCTCTCTCTCTCTCTCTTTCTTCCTCTCTTATTTCGCCCTATCTTCGTGAACGGATTCTGAACAAGCGAAAATAGATCTTAGCCGGTTGGCTCTAAAGCTTTGCATCTATCCATCTCTCTCTCTCTCTCTCTCTTGCACTTTCGTGTTCTGGTGCTTTGGGGATAGAGTAACAACATAATTCGATTACTGGATCATTTACCGATAGCATCTAGTTTGCAAGGCTGGTGTTCTATCAAGTTACCTGACAATCGCTTGAGCAATTAACACGTCCAGCATACGTCGGACCTGGTACGATAGCTCATTTTCACGTAGATACAGCTTCTTCTCTCTCTCTCTCTCTCTCTCTCTCTCTCACTCTTTCTATACGATGTTAGTTCGAAGATCATATCGGTATCTTATTAATTTTCTATTTAAAGAGAACGAACATTCCCTAAGGGTTAGGATTTTAATATTATTGAACGAGATGATTTACAAGCTGACCTTATTACAAATTAGTATCACTCTATTATCGTTGTTTTGTGAAAGGTTTTAACGACACGATAGTAATATAAAAATTGTTCATAGGCGAAGGACAACGCGGCGGGAGAATGGTCAAGGTTGGCTATGAAGAATTGTACTTGTTGGTAATCGATTACACATATAGACGTCAACACGATAGATTCAAATTTATTTAGAGACAGTATAATCGTGATAATATCGCAATTATTTTCTTTCTCGAGTTTGTAAAAAAAAAAAAAAAAAAAAAAAAAAGAAAAAGTCGTACAAGTTAATTGCATCTCGCGTTGATTATTTTTTTGCTTTTAATCTTATATTTAACCTTCGTAGTGTTATTTGCGAGAAGAATTTATTCATACCCAAGTCTTTTTCTTTTTCGTAGTCGACGACGCCTTTATAAAATCGATTATGTGCTGATTTTTGTTTTACTATTTTTATTATTTTTTTTTTGGTTTCGTTCGAAAAAGACGTCTTATATCGTCGTTTTATAATCGAATACGTTTCACGCATATTCTCATCTAAAGCCGAGATATCGTGTGTTATCGTTGCAAACCAATTGGAAGATCTCTAATTGGTTCGTCGCGTGTATACATTATAGTTGGCGCGCATGAGACGATCGTTACCTGGTGTTAGTTCGTATTAAGCGTGGGACAAATGTGAGTTTCGCATTCCATCTTCAAAGATTTATGTATCGATAACACCGTCTATGTTTCATATTGTTAATTAAGGTTAATTCGTTAACGCGTTTGCTTATCGATTCATTTCTATTTTTTAACGAAACTATTTTCTCCGATTTTCTACTATATACCAGTGTTAATTAATTAAACAAATTCTATGCTTTCGTATTAAATATTTGCACGAGTATATATTTCGTTCATTTCGTTATACAAGAACAAAAATATTCGTCAGAGTTATTTAACAAAAAATGCACGCGTTTATTTTAAATAATAAATGTTGCGATTATAGAAGATATAAAAAACAAACATATATATATATATATATATATATATGAATGAACAAACACGAGGATACTTTTTTTTCTTTTTTTGTTTTTTTTTTTTCGTTTAAAGATAAGGAATGAACGTTAAGACGTGAAATTATTTTACCTGTCGCACAGAGCAGAACGATCCAAAGTTTCCACATGATTTATGTCAGAGTACAAAAATCGCGATAACTTATTCACCAAAATCGTCGTTAGTGTTACGAAGACGAAGATACGAAATCGTCCTCATTCTCGAGCACTCGTCAATCGCGTTTATATCACCTTTGATCTTTTTTTTCTCTACCGATCGATGATCGATCGATCGATCTACTATCGATCAGATAGTAAGATATCTATCTTATTAAGATAGATTCAAAATAAAATAGATCGAAATGTTTCTCGTTAATATTCGATTACATATATATTTCTTTATATATATATATATTTATCTTATAAACAGAAAAACGCGCGATCAGGTGATATTTTTGTTGCACTTTTAACTTAATAAAAGTAAGAACGTTATTATCGATATGGGAAAAATAATATAAAACGATTGTTCACATTGTTCTCTTTAATCTTTTTTCGAATTAGAACATTTTCTTTTCTTTTCTTTTTTTTTCTTTTCTTTTTTTTTCTTTTTGGATTAGTTATTGTCGTCGTTCATGCGTAATATATTTAATATGAATTTCTACGAGGAACGTTCTTCGATGAAGGTTCGCGGACGACTGAGGCTGCCACCGACGTCGAGTCCACCACGTCGACGAGGAGGTGTAGGTCTCGAGTATAGAGGGAGAGTACGAAAGAGGAAGAGTGAGAGAGTATAAGGGAAAGATAGATAGATATATAGAGAGAGAGTTAGATAGAGGGAGATAGAGAGAGAGAGAGAGAAACGCGAGTTTTCGATCCTGACTACTACTCCTACTTCCTACCCGGATACTTTCTCGATATCGTAGCATTTTTCAGACTACACTTTTACCCAGCTGCGTTTGCCATCATTTCTTCTGTCAAATAACGAGGAAGCAGGGTGACATGTGACACTACCTGGATTTCTTCCTTTCGAGAAATGCGAGAAGAGGGGGAAAAAAATGGAGAAAGAGAATAAAAAAACGTTGGTGGAAGAATAAAAGGAGGTAAAAAGAAAGAGAAAAAAGAAGAAAATATTGCGGGAAGAATGAGCTTCTTCTTCTTCTTCTTCCTTCCAAGGAAAAAAATGAAAAGAAAGAAAGAGATATATATATAGAGAGAGAGAGGGAGAGGGAGAGATGCAAAAAAAATGTTTCCTTCTTTCATTGTGTCGCATTGCTTTCGTCTCTCCTTTCATCGCGGCCGATTCTTTTTCTGGGGAGTTCGTTTTTTTTTTATTATAAAAAATTTCAAAACGAACGCGCGGGTCAGCTTTTTTTTTCCTCCCTCGGGCAAAATTTCCTCCGGGATAAATCTTCATTGAGACGAATATTATCTATCATTTCGTGTTCGCGAAATAGATTTCGATGCTTTTCCGCGTTATTTTCTCATTGTTAGAGATGTATCCGCGAGATGGATATAATATAATACGGATTTATTTTATGCACCAGCGACAAAAAAAAAAGTATTCCTATGCACGGGTTGTTCCTACTTTTCTTTTTTTTACTCTCTCTCTCTCTCTGTTTTTATATATTTTTGTTGTCGTTGTTGTTGTCTTTTTTTCAAATGTAAAATAATATGTAGATATGTAGATATGTAGATGAACAGCGTGACGTACAACTTGATCTTTTGGTTTTTTCGTTTTTTTTTTTTTTTCGTCAGCATAAATATTTGAAAATAATTATAACGAAGTATTGTATTCTATACGGTACACGTTGTTGTTTATTTAAAATCAGATCAAAATAAAAAAAATAAAACCGGAGGCAAAAGAGAAAAAACAGCAAACTAACGCTATTGTAAATATAATTTTTATTTCCCGGAGGCAGGAGTTCCTTTTTTTTTTGAATGTTACATTTTAACGAGACAGAATTCATTCACTTCTTAGATTTACGCTCGAGGTAAAATGCAACAATTCTTTTACCGAACTACGTATTATAAATATTATTAATCTAGAAACTCCTTGAGAGAAAGTGGGTAAATTTTTGACGCAACTGGTCCGGAAAGATTGCGAATGCTGAAAGGTGGGTTAGCAAAAAGAGGGAAAGAGAGAGAGAGAGAGAGAGATAAAGATAAAGGTAGAAAAGAAATATACAGTCTTCGTCTTTAAATTACCAGGCTGGTTTAATAAGCGAATAGAGGGGAAGATTGTACCCTTATTTCCAACCCGAACAAAACGAATACTACGATTTCGCTCGAGTTAACTGAGAATCCCTTCTCCCTTATAGTAATACTCGGTCTCAAAAATGTTTCTCCTCGAAAGAAAATAAAACATTTAAAGAAAATAATACGATGTTGTTATAAAGGAAAATGAAATTCTTACTCTTCGGAATGTTACTCGTTCCTTTGAACGATGATATATTAAATAAATGTAAATAAAGAAAAATTTGTATCCAACGTGTAAAACCGATCGAACGAATTTAATATCGTTACTTCATTTTTATCCTATCGTTATACCCATGGTTATTTGAGAAAGATTTCGTTGAAATTAATCGGAAGAAAAAGAAATAAAACAAAATGAAAATAGGATGTAAAAAAAGGGATATTTGAATTAAAAATAAAATAATCCATCAGGGGCAAGAAGTGCGCGCGTTGATATAAACGGCTCGTTTATAACTTCAGCATCATATATATATATATATATATATATATATATATATATATATATATGTATGTATGCATTTATTTAAACATGTATATATAGGTGTACATATATTGGCTTCCGCTTCGTTGAAACATTGAAGTGGAGGAAGCATCGATTCGATTTCGGCGGATGTAAAACGCAGGAGCGACTCTGTAAGCTCGACGATAAAATACAAGAGCGATTATCGTAAAGAGAGAGAAAGAAAAAAAAAAAGATAGAGAAAGAGAGTGGTCTCTCTCTACGTCGAAATATTCGGTTCAATGAACCCATACCCCTTTTGGTCCAAGAGAGAAAGAGAGAGAGAGAGAGAGTTACATCGTGTATTTCGTACCGAGAAGGAGGCGTTGGCGGTTGAAATATGTTCGGTGCATAGAGTTCACGCTCGTAAGAATTGATATCAGTGGTCGTTACATTTACGAGTACGTGGTCTTATTCATCTTGTAACATCGACGAACCATTAATATCCTTTTACGTTACTGTTCGTACCTTATTTTTCGTATATACATAATATTGTAGTTACATTATTTACGATACACATCGATACAGTTATCAATTTCTTTCAATTCAAAGCGAGATAAACAACAAAAATTATTCCTTTTCCTCTCTTTTTTTTTTTCCTTCGAATTCATTTAAATAATCGTTGTCATCGTCTATTGTAAGATATTCAAGAAACGTCATCCCCTTTTTTTTCATACGCTATTATTAAACTACTCATTTCGAATTTATTCATGTAAGATCACGTATGTTATAAAACTTAGCTCGATTTGTAACGCTCTATAAAGAAATCGAGATGATCTAATTTTTTTGTCTTCTTCTTCTTTGTTTCTTTATTGATTCTTATTCATTATTTTCTCTACTAACAAGAATACACCTCGTCGATTTCACGAACATCTTTTCGTCGAAGAGAGATTATTATTTTTTTTTTTTTTCGGTTTTCTTTCTTTTCTTCGTATTATTTTTTTTTTATCTTTCTCTCTCTCTCTCTCTCTTTTCTCATCATCGAACTATCTTAGAGTTCTAATCGTGTATTTAATGAGCTATCAAGTAGACTCACTCGATTGGCTAAAATGCTGAACCACTAGATAGACTTATTTCATTCTTTTTTCTTTTATAATATAGATCGATGTCGTGATTCGAAGGAATAATTATCCCTTTATTCGGGATGTAACGTTGATTGCCGATATAATTGTTCATTAATGAGCGAAGGAACAAATAGGTGAATATCTTATCGATCGTTGATTGGGGAGTAACGTTAATTACCGTATCGTGTATCTTTGACGATTCGATAAGAGAGGAACTTATCGGTTAAATTCGATTCCTATTTTAATTGGGTCTTGTAACGTTTTGCTGAGCCATCATACACACACACACACACACATTCGAATATTAAACGTTATTTAGTTTTTTTGTGTTCTTATTTATTATCTTTGCCTTTTGTTTTATCGTCGAAGATAAAATTCAAATAGTCCAGATTTTCAACCAACCGCAACGAAGACAACGAAGACAACGAACAAGAAGAAAAATAATAATAAGAAGAAGAAGACAACTTTTATGCGTACCAATGGTGAACGACTGAACAAATATCGTTATCTCTTCTCTCAGTTATTTTCTCATCCTTGAACTCGGATACCGTTTGTACCGTCACCCATCTCACGTTTACATACCTTGTACCACCACCGTCTACATTCGCCAATGCCCGCCCGGCTTCTCTTTCTTGAAATTCTATGGGCATACGTAAAACCGTAGTCTATGGCACGAACGACCTTCGTTGATTTTATTCCCTCGCTAAAGTAAAACTCCACTTGGTATGGAGTGTGTCTTTCCTTTTCAAACTCTCGCATTCTATTCTTCTCATATAAACTTTAAATATTGATCGTAAGATCTGGGCTAAGGTTAATTAAAAGAATTAAACTTTTTTCCCCTCCCACTCCCTTTCCCCTTTTAATTTTCTTCTTTATTATTTGAAAGGAATAACAGTTTGCGCGAGAGAGAGAGAGAGAGAGAGAAAGATGATGATTTTATTTTAAGTATTTATTTATATTTCTTTCTTTTCTAGTTGTATTCCTTATATATATTAAGATATTTGATTAAGATTCCTTTTTCTTTAAAGTTTTATTTTACGATTCCAAGTGCATCATAGCTATTATACTTGTCTTCTTCTGCATACTTATTTTCTTGAGATTTTATAATTGTTATCGCTTAAGAAGGATTATACGAATTTTCTTTGTTCAAGTACATTTTATTTCCTAAGTCATTCTTTTAAGCTGGTGTCTCTAATATAATTCTATTTCTAATACTTTAATATTCATAGCCAAGACAAAGGATGATGCATTTTTTTATTTACAATTAGACAGTATTTTTGTATCCTAATATTCACACACACACACACACACACACCTACGTGAATCTTAATTAGTTCGATTCATTAGATATTGCCTTCATGAGAGTTCTACTTTCTCTGTGTATGCATCTATCTCTTACTTTTTATTTCCTCTTTTTTTCTGGTATCTCGAAGGACGTTTTAAACGGGAGACTCTTCGTGCCATGCAGTTAGTTATTCGTGTACGCGTCTTCTTAATTAAAAGACACATTGTAACGTTTCTTTTGTACAATCCTTTTATTTCTTTTTTTTTTCTTTTTGTTAAAACATACGTTTGGTTCCTGGATGATAAATGTTTCAAATAAAAAATCTATGAGATATCTCGTAGTAATAGGGTTTTTATTCATAAAATTATCGACTAGTGTTTCACGGATTAATTATCTTATCTTTTACCGAAAGTAGACACACGGGAGGATTGCAGCAACTACGTTTAAG